TATTCTGTTCCCGTAATGTTCAGTTTGTACAACCATTAACCATGCACCGTCGTGCACCGGTTTTGGTTGCTGTTTTTTGGCTGCCCATTTGGACGAAAATAAGGAAAAAGATAGGATAGGATAGGCCGAAGTGCTGCAGCATATACTCGACTCTTCACAGACAGCCGATGGCGCCACAGATGTCAATATGGCAAATGCCAACCGAGCTTTCTGTATGCGGGGAGATGGTGCATGAAGAAATGCACAGAGCCATTAGGTAGAGTAGGTGTCACGCGCCTTCCAGTTGGGAGTCCAAAAGACTCTGCAACTTGTTGGTTGGAAACACTGAAGGATGTGGCAGCGAACGGACAGCAGTGGTGTGATTGTCATTTCTTATCAAACTAGAATGCTTGAAAAGGGATGTATGCGCAGTCAGGTTTTTCAGTGTTGACCATAAAGGCTCACTTTCTTTACCTCCCTCCAATTAGACCCAATTCCTCTCTATCTTGTACTTTATCATCTAATTTTTCAGCTTGGTAGCAATCAGCGAACTTCGCTTGACTGAATCTTGCTGTACAATAATGATGACTAGCGGTTATTATTTCAATCTAACAAAGTAATAAATGCCAGTCCATGATACTCTTCTTCAAACCTTAGATCTATCCAAGCCGCTGCCTCTGTTGCTGCCGCCAACATGCCTAACAGTGCACATAAAAACGTAAATTCATTGGGTGATTTGGTCCAGAGCTCAGTTTGTTCACAACCTTTGGAATTCGAATCTAATCCGGGCGGTAATCAATCACGAGTTGGACTCCCTTTTCGTGGTTCAACCACTGTTCATTCTCCAACATCGTTTGGAGGTGCTATTCGTTCTGCAGCCGATCCCCAATGTTCAAGTTACTGGCGAACCGCGTTGGATGGTCCTGATCAGTTCAATACCTCGTTCAGTCCACAAATCCAGCCCAGCTTCCGCAGTCTTCCGAATCAAGCCCAGCTACTCTCCGGGTTTCGGATACATCAATCTACCCCAAGCGAACTTACACACGTTCCCACCGAGAACGATCCTATCCGTGTGAAACTCGACCACGAGGATCGGTCCTTGATAGCTGCGCAGCTGAATACACATGAAACGGGTTGCGCTCAGTTTCCAACAGGAAAGGCAAGCACTTTTTGTTCCTCTACTCACGGTGGTAACAGCGAGTACCAGAGCAACTCAACCCCCTATATGTCTACGTCCAATAGCTCTGGACCTGGCCCGAGTTTTGGTGAGTTGAATATCATTTAGGTTGTGTTATTGTTCTTTTACCAATATAATGGGTTCATTTTAAGTCCCTGTTATTGTGTTTGCCAATCGGAGTGTAGGGAGAACCTTTCAGTTTAGCTTTTTGTTAGTATAATGAATTAAATTTGTACAATAGACCAAAGTTCCCGTTAGTTTGAATGTATTGACGTGATAAGTGTTTAAAGTCCTTCAGTCCATCCATCCACAGCAAAACTACTCACTTTGAGCACGCACAGAAAGCCTATCTGGAAGCGTGTTGCTTATCCATCAGGGAAAAGACCAACATTTTTTGAAGAAATTCCCCTGAGTTTTAATAGTAGTAGTGCATGAGTCGACAAGTAGCACATTAAAAGAATGGACCGTTCGCATACCAAGGCGGGTGCGACCCACGCCGGACTTGAACACGTCATCGACACGACTTGTCATTGAAACTGAAAGGCAGCATATACTGTACCATAGTACTTCACGATCGCGACCCTGAGTTTGTGCGCGGAATTTAAACAACCGTTAACCATGCGCTCCCGTGCGGTGGTTTTGATTGCTGTCTTTTGTCTGCCCGTTTGAATGAAAGAGTAAAGGGAAAATTAGAATGCTCAAAGCAGTGTCAAACTAAAAATTGTGAATTAACGATGACTAAATTTGCAATGACACCAGTGGCAGACTGAAAGTTGGATCGTTAATATCCGTGCAGGTTGAAGCATCGTAAATGAAGCAACCATGTTAGCAACACGGGTTGAAACCGTCGTGCGTTGCAAAATATTCGTTGCGGTCGGATTACCAATAGTTGTCTACCATATTGTAGCTTACTGGCATAAGCCATTCTAGGATGGAGAAAATCACAAGGAAGCCCAAGGATTATGTGGAGACGATGCCAGATTGTGTAAGGTAGGTATCTCCAATCTTTTAGACTGGGTTCCAGCGGATCAACTGGTTAGTTGTTTTCTCTCAGAGGGCATAACTTTATTTGACATGAAATGCTATTGCCCGAAATACAGGTAAACCTGCGGAAATTATCTTCACGGTATCTGATTCAGACATTAATTACTCGCGCTTGCATTGACTCAAAGAGGGCAATGAAACCCATATTGCTTTGCAATACATTTGGACATATTCTGAAACCAACGGTTTTTCACGATAAACACCGGAAGTACTTTGTTATGGTCTTTGTATTTCCATATCTCCGTTTATCTCCCAGTGCAATGGATAGTTATAAAATAAAACATTTTTATCAAACATTACGCAACTGCCTGTTTTCATTGATGACTGTAAAACGGGTAGCGGTGGTCAAGCGGTTAAGGTTACCAACTTATCGCCTCGAGGGACGAATGTTCGAATCCCACCGCCGCCCAACTTTTCTCATTACTGTGTATCACAGCCCTTTGTTTGGCTGCTTCTGTTGATAAGTTCGCAAAAACAAATCATAAGAGTTGAAGCATTGTTTCTCGTATTTTATGGCTCGTTAGTTTCAGTTTATACCGACATTAACTTTACACTTTCATCTGGCGTTTTTTGGTCGCTTTCTTTTAGCCGCCCGTTTGAATAGAGTAGAAGACCGAGAGCAGTGTCAAGGCGAAAATAGAGACTAAGGTTATAAAGTAATTTGGTGATACACGAGTGCTACCGTTTACGATACTCAGTGACGTCAACCGTCATTTACACTGATCCCGTGATCTCCAACTATCCCTACCCACATTATTAATCAATATTGCTTTCATCCTCATCTGCATAAGTTAGCTTTTATTATTGTGTTTCGTTCATCTTTCTTACAGAACTGATTCCCCAGCCTTCTCAAGGTGAAGCTGAAGTTTGTCCATCGCAATTTTACAGCGGTGTACCAAAGCAAGGAACGGAAGTTGCAAATGAATCATCGTCATCCTTGATTCACAATACGTGTCTGGTCCATGCTTCTGATAATGGTTTGATGAGACCATCTGCTATCTGCTACTTACCTTCTGCACCAAACGCAGAAAACACGAGCCAGTCATCCCCATCACATATACAATAC